AGCCTAATTGTCCTGTGATTGACACAATTCTGGCCAGACCTTTGTCTCTCTTTTTTCAGCTTCTCCCTAAGCAAATTTGTGGATATTTTTATTGTAATTATCTTTTTGTTAGCTTTCACTGTTTAACCAGTGTCAAACCATTGCCCATATAAACTTCTGGGATGATCTGCTCAGGGCTCACATGGACTGTCTTGTCTCATCCTTTCCTTTCAGCTGGATCATTAACAGTGCAATTAAACAGCACCAGACCCAGTGGTGTCAGTCTGAGCACTTTCCTCAGTGATGATTTGCCTCTGAACTGCTCTGCCAGGACTCAGGGAAGGAAGTCCTGTTCCACACAGCTGGGAATCGCTACAGGACAAATTCTTATGCAGCTTCTTATGTCAGGATGTGTTTCCCTGTGTGAGACACAGGGGAAGCAAGGTGGGCTGCAGTGCAGATGGGGTGAACTAAAAGAGACTGTAGCTCCTTCAGTGTTGAAATATTTTCTGTGGGATAGGGGAGGTTGTTTTATTTATCTTCTGTGATGGTGTTCACAGGGGTTCTTGGATTGGGGAGGAGATGAGGATCTGACTCCATGTCTCAGAAAGCTTGATTTATTATTTTATGATATATATTACATTAAAACTATACTAAAAGAATAGAAGAAAAGGTTTCATCAGAAGACTAGCTAAGAATAGAATCGAAAGGAATTATAACAAAGGTTTGTGGCTTGGGCTCTCTGTCTGAGCCAGCTGACTGTGATTGGCCATTAATTAGAAACAACCAACATGGGCCAATCACAGATGCACCTGTTGCATTCCACAGCAGCAGATAATCAATGTTTACATTTTGTTCCTGAGGCTTCTCAGCTTCTCAGGAGGAAAAATCTTAAGGAAAGGATTTTTCATAAAAGTTGTCCGCGACAATTTTAATTTTCCTATTTATGTCAAAAGCCCCCCTTTTTTCCCCTTTCCTGTTTCCTGTTGCAATTCATTTATTCTAAAACCTCAAGAATAAATCCTCAAGGAAGAGGAGAGGATTTTTTTCCATTGCTGAACTCCTTGATATACCCTGCCAGGTCCTGTGCTTTTTGCTGGTAATGCTACATCTAAACCACAAATCCCCTCCAGGTCCAAAGCCACTTTGTCCCAGCATTGTGCAGCATCCCCAGAACACAAAGGGCTGTAATGGAAAGAGAAGCAATTTGTGTGTCTGTGTTCTCTGACTTCATACATTCAGGGGTTTATAATGTCCAAAGGGTAGATCAAGATAATTAAATACCAATAAGCAGAGATAAATGAGCCCCATGCAGGTCAGTTTGCTGCACAATACAATACAAACTACCAGGAGCTTTTGTAAACACATTGAAAATAAAAAGAATTATTTTTTGTTCTTTGTGCCACTTAAACTCACACCTCTCGTAAATAGGTATTAGATTAAATCTCAATCCGGCCTGATTTTCCTGTGGGGAATTTAAATAACCCCTGTAAATTAACTTCATGCAGGACAGCCCAGGTTGTGCCAAGTTCAAAGTTTTCTCTACAGCATGAAAAATGGACTAATCAAGATTTTTGAGTATTGTCTTTTTGCCCCTGTTGATTTTTTTTTCACTCATCCTGGCAAACCAAAGCTTTGCTATCAGAAATGTATGTACCCCATCTGTGATGGCCAATGGGAACTCAGGGTTGGATCCAAGGTTTGAAATCAGACCTGTGGTTTTCCCTCACAGCATTACATGGTAATGAGCAGAGCTGACTGTATTGCATGAGGGTGTTCCAAGTCACCTGAGGACTGTACAGGAAATGGTGAAATAAAGTCCTGGGTTGCACTACAAGTGGGATTCCCAAAGAAAAGAAAAGAAAAAAATATTTTGCTTTATTTATTTACATACAATTGTAAATGGAAATTTATTTACTTACATACAATTCCAACATTACGGTTGGAAAAGACCTCCAAGATCTTCAAGCCCAACCTTTGACCAATCAATGCCCTGTCAACCAAACCATGGAGTGCCATCTCCAGACATTTCTTGAACATCTCCACCACCTCCCTGGGCAGCCTCTTCCAATGCTTGGCAACCATTTCCTTGAAGAATTTGTTCGTGATGTCCAACCTGAACCTCTCCTGGTACCACTTGTGGCCATTTCTTCCTGTCCTGTGCCTTGTTTCCTGGGAGCAGAGCCTGACCCCACCTGGCTGCTCCACCCTCCTGTCAGGGAGTTGTGCAGAGCCAGAATTTCCCCCTGAGCCTCCTTTTCTCCAGGCTGAGCCCCTTCACCCCCTCAGCTGCTCCTCATCACACTTGCTCTCCAGGCTCTTCCCCAGCTTCCTTCCCTCCTCTGCACACACTCCAGCCCCTCAAAGTCTTTCTTGTCATGAGGGGCTCAAAACTCATCACAGGATTTGAGATGCAGCCTCCCCAGTGCCCAATCACTTCCCTGTCCTGCTGCCACTTTTTTTTTTATACAGGCCAGGATGCCATTGTCCTTTTCGACCACCTGGGCACTCTGCTGGCTCCTACTTGTCCACATTTCTATTCAGTAAGCAGAATAGACAATCCACACTCTTTGTTCTCAGTCTTTTACTGTAGTAACACTGCCTGTGCTCATGGAGAAGCCCCAGCCCTCGATAACCTTTGGTCTGTGGAAATGAATCATTCCTGGTGGCTGTGTGCACACACTCTGATGATGCTGCCTTATCACAAGGCCTTTGTGATGGCCCATTGCTCACACAGCAGAGCTGCCAGGGGCTCAGTGCCCTTCTCCTGAGAGCTTCAGTCCTTTGCACACTCAAAGAGACTCGTGGAGTATCCCAGAGAGTGGTGGATGCAAAAGAAAATGGGAAACCCAAACAAGGATGTGCATTAAAAACTACGGCAAGACATATTTTTAAAAGCAAAACATATTTATATTATTAATTTCATTAATATCAGTGTTGACATCATCAGAATCTTGCTGAAATCATAATCAGACATTGTATATGTCAAAGGGGGAAGCATGAATTCATAAAATTCATCTCCTTTGCTCATGAGGTAAACCCTAATGATATGGGATGCATTTTGGCATTACAACCATGATGACTAAAATCATTGCTGCTGATTTGCAGCAAACATGTCCTATCTTGAAATAAAGAAAATCTAATTAGCCTGGGCATGTTCTTGGCTGTGAGGCTGCTGAGGCCCTGGTCCTGCTGCCCACAGGAACTGTGGCTGCCCCATCCCTGGCCGTATTCCAGGCCATGTTGGGCTTGGAGCAGCCTGGTTTAGTGGAATGTGTCCCTGTCCATGGCAGTGGGTGGAACTGGATGGTCTTTGGTCTCTTAGGTTCGTTTCATCCCAAACCATTCTATGATTCTCAGGCAGCAGCAGGATATAGCGGTGGATAAGGGCAACAATTCCCTGTGAAGATAACACAAATGGAAATCCTCAAGGCTACTTTTGAGGCTTTTCATCTTGAGTTGTGGTCTCACCCTGGATTTTCTCCCCCTTTGTCTCGAAAAAGTGGAAATGCTCAGTTTTCAAGCCCAAGCATAAGCTTGCTGTAGCTGGACAGGGTGTGAAGCTTGCCTAGGGATGCTGACACACAGCTCCCATCTGGAGATCCACTGCTGCAACAGGCAGAGAGCCAGGTGGGAATGGAATCTTCTGACTGGGGCAATTATTTTCTACTTTGTAGCTTGACCTGTCACATGACAAGAGAGAGGCCCTTCTGCAAGGCAGGGAATTTGTTTCTTTGACCTGTCCATGCCAGAACTCTGTGCAGTGCAGGAATGATCCCATACCCTTTACCTGAGTCCATTTCCTCACCTGTAAAAGGACAGCAAGGAAACTTGCTCCTAGCTCACCTCAGAAGTGGCACAGGTTCTGTGAAAGCACAGACCCTGCCCAGTGCTCTCACCTTTGCTGTGTCTCATCCTGCTGCTGCTTTCACTGACAGCAAAAATCCCTGACATTTCTCATCGCCCTGGTACACACAGAGGAGTTTTGTGAGGCAGTGAGCAAGCAAATATAATGGCACAACAACAGAAAAAGGAAGGAAGGAAGGAAGGAAGGAA